GAGAGAGTGCTTCCATCAATTTTACCTGCTGGCACCACTTGCTTCCACAGCTTACTTGAGGGCTTACCCACGAGACGCCATGAGAGAAAACATAAAAACCTGGGGTTTTCCCCTGACATGCTCCAGCTTCCAAGAACTCCCTTTTCTGATCTTTTGGGTTTTTCCTCTAAGTTTAATCTGCCAAAGGTGCCTCTGTGACAGACAGCTCTTCTGGGTGCCCTCCCTTGGCTCAGGGTCAAGGAAGAATAGGGGAGAAATGAGTAGTTTACCCTTGTATGGATCTTTTCTCCAGGATTGACTCGTCTTCAATCCTACTGCTACCCCCTACTCCACCCCAACCCCAGTGTTCTCAGTTGCCTTTTACATTTTGTACAGAATTTTTAGTAAGTGGGAGAGGCTTCAGTGGGCTTACGCCATTTTGACTATACTGAAATCCAAAACTGCATTATTTTAAGAGCTCCAAACTGGAAACAACACAACTGTCCTTGACATTAGAATGGACAAATTGTGATATATTTACACAATGGCATGTAACAGCAGCAATGAAAATGAACAAATTACAATGACATCAGTGACATGGATAATCTCACATTATTTTTGTTTAGTGACTGAGAAAATCATTTTTAGCTTTCAAAGAAGAAATCAGTCTTCAAAGAAGAAAAAATACAAATTGTATGGGTTCTACTTTAATATAAAATTCTACTTACATAAAAGTAGGAAAACTGAATTAGTCATGTATCGCTTGACACAGATACATTTTGAGAAATGTATTATTAGGTGAATTCACCCTTGTGGGAACATCAGAGTGTACTTACACAAACCTAGATGATTGCCCACTACACACCTACGCAATATGATATAGCCCTAGGCTACAATCCTGTACAGCATGTTGCTGCACTGAATATTGTAGGCAATTGTAACACAGTGGTAAGTATTAGCGTATCTAAACATAGGAAAGGTACAGGGAAAATATCGTATAAAAGATACCTGTAAAGGGCATTTAACATGAATGGAGTTTGCAGAACTGCCAAGTTGCTTTACATGGGTCAGCGAGTGGTGAGTGAATGTGAAGGCCTAGAACATTATTGTACTTATAAACACTGTGCTTAGGCTACACTAGATTTATTTAAACTTTTTTTCTTTAATAATTAGCTTACTGCAGATTTTACTTTATCATCTTACAGTTTTCACTTTTTGGCTCTTTCATAATACTTAGCTTAAAACACATTGCACAGCTGTTCAAAAATATTTTCTCTCATTCTATATTTTTCCTTAAAATTTTTTTTTTGTAAACTAAGATGAACACACACATTAGCTTAAGCCTGTACAGGGTCACAATCAGTATCACTGTCATCCACCTCCACATCTGTCCCATTGGAAGGTCTACAGGGGCAATAAAACACATGGAGATCTCCTGTTGTAACAATGTCTTCTAGAATACCTCATGAAGGACCTGCCTAAGGCTGTTTTACAGTTCACTTAAAAAAAAAAAAAAGGAAATAAAAAAATACATATATATATAGAGAGAGTGCACGCTAACAATAAAGTATGGTAAATATATAAACTAGTATCAAAGTTGTTTATTATCAAGTATTATGTGCTATACTTCTATATGGCTAGCAGTGCAGCAGGCTTGTTGAAACCGGCATCACCACAAACATGTGAGTAACGCGTTGGGCTATGTCACTAGGTGATAGAAATATTTCAGTTCCATTACAATTTTACTGGGGTATTGACTTATAGGCAGACTATGTTGACTGAGATGTTATATAGTGCAATGACACTGTACAGTGTAAAAATAGCTGTTATCTTTTTTCTGAAGGGGGGGTCTTGATGTTGCCCAGGATGGTCTTCATCTCCTGGGCTCATGTGATCCTCCCACCTCAGTCTCCTAAAGTGCCAGAATTACAGGCATGAGTCACCCCACAGTCAGTAACTGTTATCTTTGTTGAGGAGGAAGAAAGTAGTAGTGATTGGTAGATGACATTAGGAGGGTTTTTGGGGTGCTGTGAACATTCTATTTCTTGTCTACATGGTGGTTACATATGTAATTTAGTGATAATTCTTTAAGCTGAACATTTCAGTTGAACAAACTTCTATACATATTTTAAGTATCAATTTTGAAAACATTTGAAAAATTACCTCTTCCTTCTGTTTGCAAATGACAGAACCTTAGCTTAAATTGGCTTATGTATTAAGGCGAACTTATAATGAACATACCAAGATGCCTAGTGGAATCCATGGACAGGATTTAATACAGGGCCTCATGAACAATTGAGCCAGGAGCTCAAATACTACCAGAAACTTCTCCTTACTACAAATGTTTCCTCCAGGTCAGTGACCACAGACATGGCATAATCATTTTATATAATATGCACTGAGACATTTGTGACGTGCACCTACTGTTTTGTTTGTGCAAGACCTGGCCTACTTTCTGGGGACAGCACCACCCTTAAGGAAAATGGTCTTTCCCCATCCCATCCATATGGTTTTCACAGCAGAAAACCATAGCTGGTGTTCTACCATAACCCCAATCCTCTAGCCACAGTCAATTAGTCCAGCAATGTGCACCTGACCTGTGCTGGGAACCGTATCCCTAGAATTTGTGGACTTGGAAATTCTTGGGAGTATGGTACAGAAATCTGTTTTAACAGCCCTTCAGGTTATCAATTTTAAGAGCTCTACTGGAGACTATCTTAACTCTTTATTTGGTTGTGTCTATTTCTTTAAAGGTTATTTTAAAACTGGCACTGTATTCAATCAACACTCAATTCATAGCAGATGGGAGTGGGGGTCGTGGTGGAGGCATTCAAGTATCCATAAAGGATGCAATACGAAAGACTCTAATAATATAGTTTGGTAAAGTTTTAGAATATTTGTATACTTTTTTTTTTTTTTTAAGAGACAGGGTTTCACCATGTTGGTCAGACTGGTCTCAAACTCCTGACCTCAGGTAATCCACCCACCTCAGCCTCCCAAAGTGCTGGGATTACAGGCGTGAGCCACCTCGCCCGGCATTTGTATACTTTTATAGAACCAAATTTTTTTTTGTACCAGCAGAATCCATCTAAATCATGGTAATTATGAATTCATACTTAAGAAAAAGTTACTGTCAAGCATAAACGACTACAATTTTAGAAGGAAAAAGACAGTATCTTTAAATTTAAGTGGCTATCTATTAAGTACTTTTTCTTCTTTATAATTTACTATATATTTCTCAAATTTCAATATGTATAGAGGCTGGGTGTGGTGGTGCATGTGTGTATTCCCAGCACTTTGGGAGGCTGAAGCAGGAGAATCATATGAGCCCAGAAGTTCGAGACTATCTGGGGCCATATAGTGAGACCCCCCCATCTCCAAAAAGTTTTTCTCTGTAGGAAACTAAAAGTCAATAGTCTGTGGTAGTACAGCAGCAGGTAAAAATAAAACAGCGGGTATAATAGCGGGTGGATCATATGCAGTCAGGAGTTTGAGAACAGCCTGATGTGACAAATCCCATCTCTATTAAAATACAAAAATTAGCTGGGCATGATGGCATGCGCCTGTAGTCCTAGCACCTTGGGAGGCTGAGAGAGAATTGCTTAAACCTGGGAGGCAGAGGTTGCAGTGAACTGAGATCACGCCACTGCACTCCACTAGCCTGGGCAACAGAACAAGACTGTCTAAAAAAAAAAAAAAAAAGGATAAATTGTAAAAAACTAATTAATGTTATAACAACACAAATAATACATATGATGATTTTATCAAGAAATAGCTGCAATCAGGAATTAAGATATATGCCAAGCTTTCAATAGCAGTTAATGTATACTTCTGTGAAAAGCAAACTCACATCAACATTTTAAGTAAAAAACACTTTCTCATCAGGAAAAAAAAAAAAAGGACTTGATATCCTTCCACTTAACATTTTATAACCATGTTAGTAAGGTCAGTACTTCAATATTTCCTGATGATGGGACTGCAGACAACTATCATTTTTCACCTTTATACTTTTTAATATTTGTAGTTTATGTTGTACAGCAATGAGTTTCTATTACTGTTGAAATCAGAAGAAACATTTTTTTCTTACTTTTGAAATCAGAAGAAATTTTCCTACTTTTAAAGAGAAAACATTAAGATTACTCAATGTAGATAATTTGTTTGAAACTGGTCAGTTAACATAATTTTAACTAATCTTTATTATAGTAAATAAGGCCCATGAGTATCATCAGTTTCATTTTTAGACTGGTAAGCAGAGGGCCATTTAGCTACCCCAGATTTATATTTAGGATCATTCAAAATTCATTAGTGGTTGAACCTCCATATGGGTTTTTCTGTTGCGTTGAGTATATAACAGGCTTAGACTTCTCATGTATTGACTTACAAGTATAGTGACAATTTTAAATGGCTCTTCAAGTTTTTAGACTGGCTTGAGAGAAAAAAAAAAACACAAGGGTGTCTTTTTCTCCCCCTCATCAGTATTAATCTAATTGTAACATGTAATATTATTTTAACTGTAATTATTCTAATTGTAACATGTAATTGCAAAGCAAATATCCTCTAAAGGAATATGGTGAACTAATTAAACAATGTACAATCCTTGATTTTTCCATCCATAAAAGAAAAGACGCCCGTGATCACCTAAATATTCGCATTTGGTATGAAAATGCATTAATCGTTCTCCTGGAAACTCATAATAGCTTTTCACTTGTTTTTTCTAACTAGATATCATATCTAGCTATGATCTAGTCATATGCTAGCTTTTTCTAACTAGATATTAATTCACAGCAGGTGAAAAAGTTCCAAGAACAAATTAATTTATAGTGAACTATAAATTTCCTCCAAGTAATCCACATATGAAATAACTTTGACAGAGAAAAGATAAGATATAATCCAACCCCATGAAGACTAAGTCTGAAAGGGCAATATGATATGGGTTTGCAAGAAAAACTCGATTGAGTAATTTATTAAAACCAAGTGTAGGCAACTGAGAGGGAAAAAAAGGAATTTTACCATATCCAGAGATTCAACACTTAAAAAACAAATATAAATTTAATAATAAACATTATGGTCAGGCTGTTTATTAAGGAGGCAACCACATATACAACTTCGGCTATAGAAATGTTTGCAAATCGAACGTCATGTGATCTAAAAGGACCATGCGCAACGTCAAAAATGAATACCTGTACATTCAATAAAAAGTTAAACATACATCGTCTAGATCATTCTAGAGTTATACAAACATCTGGGGCCACATCATATGTATCGAAGTTTCTTTCAAAAAAACTTTTTATAAAAGTGATGTATTGAGATAATTTTAAAAAGTATCTGACAATTATGAATGGTCCCCAGTTCTACAAAATGTGATTTCCAGGATACGAAACTGAAAAAAAAAAAGTCAACTCTTCAGAGAGTGTTTTATATTATACAAACAAGTTTTGTAGAAAAATGATCCAGCAAATGCTTGAGTTAAGAATATTTATATTTTTTCCAATTCTTTACACTTTTATTAACACACTTACAAAAAATAACATTCAAACACTGAGAAAATTAAATAACTTTGGAAGCAGAGCTCATTGTTTTCTGCTTACATATAAGTGACAATTCTGGGCTGTTGGCACAAAATAATCAACATTCATAAAACCCTTACTACTATATATGAAACATAAGTTAAAATCATAGGCACTAGTTTATCAAATCCACATTTCTTCTGTAAGACTAACCACAGTAAATCCTTAGATTTTCCCAAACAGAAAAATTGCGACACACAAAGGCTTTCTAGTAAAAAGGCAATTTTTCTCTTTAGGAAACTAAAAGTCAATAGTCTGTGGTAGTACAACAGCAGGTAAAATAATACTTTACCAAACTCAGATCCAAAATAAGTTTTAACAAGTGATGAAATATTTTAATTAAAAAAAAATAGACATTTTTTTCTGATGCAGCCATTTAAAAACAAAGTTAAATAACCTGAATACTCCTTTTGAAACTGATTATCTAACTTAAAAAATGTAATGTTTCATAATAGAGTTAAAATTCCTTTTAATTATTAGATTGCAGCATATATATATTTTTTGAAATGTTGCACTGAAAACTGAGAATTGTTTTGTATGTGGTTAAGAGACAGTAGCTAGTTCTTTCTTTTAATTACTTAGACATGAGATAACCCCTCCCAAAAGAAGATGCTTTATCTTCCTCTGAAAAGCAACATTTTTTGAGTTCATTACCATGTAGAATTCTGGCGCCATCCTTTCCTGACCCACCCCATTACCCTCAAATTCAAGGATAAAGTTTCTTCCTTGCATTATACACCAAATACATAGTACTGGCAGTTTAAATCTCCAGCTGCTTGTGCTGAATAAATGATTCCCCACAGGTCAAGCTGATAGACTACCATGGTGTCAGTCATGACAGAATGGAGGTCCTGGTTTTTTCATCATTCTCTCAACCTATTAACCTTCATGCTGCCCTGAATATCAAGCCTTTCATTTCTCTTTCCCAATTTCTTTTGCCAACTTACGGAATGTCTTTGATTAACAGGAAATGAACTTATGTTCAAATCTCTAAAAGCTTTTAGATGACCTAACTGCCAATATCTTAGAGCTGTTCAAATTAGGTATTTAAAAACAGACCTCATAATAAAAAAATGAGAGGCCCGCCACAGAAGGAAGTTTTACTCTGCTAATAGTCTGATAAAACTGAAATAGGCGACTTCAAGATACATTACGAGCTGTTAGAGAACAAGTATTTATCAGGTTAAGAGTTATATGTAGTAGGTTTGTTACCAAAAATGCAAAAAATTGATGTAAGGCAGAATCTAAGTCAAAAGGGAAAGAATTTCCAATAGATGTTGTTTATACAGTTACTCAGTTTCAAGTGGATCAACTCAAGTAGCATTTAGCAGGCTATATTTTCCTACCACATAATAGACCATTATGCCATGTAATAGCAACAATACAACTGTCATCACCAGAGATTCTGTAGGTTAAGTGCATAGATTTTTTTCCCCCTCTCTCTCATTGTATGGTTTTGTTCCAGGTTGTAAGCACTGAGGTGGTGTTGTATCAAGAATAAAGACACAGATTACTTGTTCTTTCCTATCATGAAAACCTGCTAATAGAAACAGGATCTCTTAATTCTGTAAAGATAACAGGATGTGAAGACGTTGGCTTCAATAGCAAAGGCCATCTTTCCTGAGCCAGGAACTATAAAGTTTAGAAAGATTGTACAACTGATATTAAGCCCTTTTGGCAATCAAAACAAACACGCAGAAAGTTCGATGTGTCAATGCAATATGATGGATGCATGCTGTAACACTATCTGATGGTGGTGATATGTGAGCTACATCCAAAACTTAAGATTAAATGACAATTTTTCTAATGAATCTGCAAAAATAATTTCTGAAATTCTCCCAAATTTAGGGATGTTTTCAATCTCTAGCCCAGCCTTCTTTCCTCCCACCCCCAATCTCAATCTGTAGTTTCCTGGTGTACTAGTGAAACACTTTAGATCATTAGTCAGAATATTAGTTCTCATTAACACAAATATTTATTGATACTATTTATACAGTAAATTAGTTGAATGTGAAGTTTTGGATAGCTTGAATTCACCATTTTCTTATGCACAAATGGGCATTTTTCTCATTTACAAATGGGCATTTCTCTTTGGCATCCATTAAGTATTTGCCCAGATATTGGCCTCTGTCAAATATTTTAAAAATCATCCTAGTTTCTATTAAACAAAACTAAAAGTGATTCTATGGAGAGTGATTGTGTGATTACCAAACACATCTGATGTTAAATGTCATTAAAGTGCTGTTTGATGATCTCTGTCAGCTTGTGCTAATTAAGACAGAGAGGGCTGGGATTTTATAAATCCCAAGAGTCTTATCTGAACAGTCTGCATATAAAAGTTGTTTTTAGCCTTGTGAAGGGTATCCATGAAGCCGTGGACTTCTGCATTCTTGTCTTTGCTGGTCAATAACAGCCATCTTTCCAACTGTCATCTTTCATGCTACCATAGGTTTTAGGAGCTGGCAAGGATCTGAAATAAAGCAATTTTGTAATTTAAACTTGATAAATGTCTTTATGAAATATTACCATACTATCTCATACATATATTAATTACTCTTTAGATGGCATCATGATCCTATGAAGACTGTTCAGGAGGATTACCAACACAAAAGCTCTAAACAGGTACTTGTACAACCTCCCCACACGTGGCATTTTCACAACTTTAAAGTTTTACTGGACACCAGATGATTTTTCCATTTTGTTAACACAGCCACTAGATCAAAGAATGGAAAAGATGGTCTCACCTTTTCCAAGCACATGGATAACCAACCTTATTATTTACTTCTTATTTTGAGAGGCAGAATGATGAATGTGATATTAGAAGCTCAGTGTCATCACTAGAAAGGCAGTATGGGATAGTGACTGAAGTCAGACATACTCGGAACTGATAGTTCTATTAGTTATGTGGCTCTAGGCAAATTACTTAATTTCATTAAATTTCAATATCCTCTTTTGAAAAACAGAAATAAGAAAACCTACTCATTTAATGTTATTATGAAGATTAAACAAAGCAAACATTTACTTATTTAGCACAATGATAAATACTTCCAGTTTAATTACAGTTGACATCAAAGTTTACTGATGATGGTAATCCCATTCTTGAAAGGTTACAGATGCAACATTCCTAACCTGTCTGATTCGGAATCATCTGAAGATCAAACAAACAAACACACCGCAAAAAACAGCACATTGGCTGGGGGCAGTGGCTCGCACTTGTAATCCCAGCATTTTGGGAGGCCGAGGTGGGCAGATCACTTGAACTCAGGAGTTTGATACCAGCATAGGCAACATGGTGAAACTCCGTCACTACAAAAATTAGCTGAGCATGGTAGTGTACATCTGTAGTCCCAACTACATGGTGGGCTGAGATGAAAAGACTGCTTAAGCCCAGGAGGTCAAGGCTGCAGTGAGCCAAGACTGCACCACTGCGCTCCAGCCTGGGAGACAGAGCAAGATGCTGTGTCAAAAAACCACCACCACCACCATCCCAGCACAATCACAGATTCTGAGCCTCATACCAGATCCACTAAGTTAGACTCTCTAAGGGTAAAACTTACACACCTACATTTATATAAATTTCACAGATAATTCTGAATTGTAGAATAAGGGTTTGAAACCATGCTTAGAGATTATAATCAGACTTGGTAGCTAGAGGTTTTATCTTAAATATTACTCTATATTCTAATATACGTTTAACATCTTTATTGAATATAATTATATTCTAAATGAACAAATATCACAAATTAAGTGGTTCTAGCAATATTTTTCTAGGAGTTCTCTGAGATGCTTAATCATGTTAGGAAACTGGACAAATTTAATCTGAACCAAATTGGTAAATGTCTCAAATGAGGATTTCTTCAAAACAACATAGTAATGTTTTATTCAAACTGTACTAAAACTCCGGTGGCAATCCACCATGACTTTCTGTTTACTATCAAACATAGCATGAAGCTAATTAATTCCAGTCTATCCACTTTCAGGTACTCAAGAATGCTGAAACAGAACATTTGCCACTTACCTGCGAACAGGTTGTGCAAGTTTGCTGCGAGGCACTGGTATGCCCCCAGCAGAAGGGGCACTGGGTCTGGGCAAGCCACTTCTCATTGCAGTTGTCCCTGCAGGTCTGGTTAGAGTAGTGCTGTTGATATTGCTGGGAGGATTTGCTGAGACTGTGTTCTGAACCATAGGAGGCCCAGGTGAGGAGGTGGTTTGTGCGAGCTGTGTTATTTCTTGGCTACCAGGAGAACCAGAGCCATGATTACTAAATGCTTTCACTGGTTGCCGAAGAGCCAAAGGAGATGGTGCTGCAGGGGAACGGAATTTGCCTGGAGAAGGTACTGTGAAATGGCGAAGAAAAACCAGTTTTTGAGTGGAAATCATATATAAATGAAACCATGACTTTAAATTACAACTGATGATTAGGTACTAGTACATTTTATTCAGGAAACGTTACAGCAATGCAAAGAATAAAAGATATTCCTGGGCTACTATAAGAATAAAGGTAATTGTGAGCTGTAAATTACCAAGTACTTAATTAGAGGATTACAACTCTAACAACAGTATTTTAAATCTGCTGGGCACGGTGGCATGCACCCATAATTCCAGTTACTTGAGGCTGAAGCAGAACTGCCTGAACCCAGGAGGAAGAGGCTGCAGTGAGCCCTAAAGATGCCACTGTACTCCAGCCTGAGTGACAGAGCCAAGACTGTTTCAAAAAGAAAAAAGAAGCCTGGGCGCAGTGGCTCACACCTGTAATCCCAGCACTTTGGGAGGCCGAGGCGGGCAGATCACCTGAGGTGAGGAGTTCTGGACCAGCCTGGCTGACATGGTAAAAACCTGTCTCTAATCAAATACAAAAATTAGCCAGGCATGGTGGTGTGCCCCTGTAGTCCCAGCTACTCACAATCTGAGGCACGAGAATTGCTTGAGTCCAGGAGGCGGAGGTTGCCATGGGCAGAGATCATGCTACTGCATTCCAGCCTGGGCAACAGAGCAAGACTCTGTCTCCAAAAAAAATAAAAAAGGAAAACAGAAAAAAAGCTTATGTCCACACAAAGACTTGACTACAACTTTATAACAGACAAAGACTGAACAAAGCTCAAATGTACATCAACGTGTGAATGGATAAACAAATTGTGGCATAACCACAAAACAGAATACCACTCAGCGATAAAAAGGAGTAAACTGCTGATATATACAACAAAGATGAAACTCAGAAATTATGCTGAATGACGAGTATCAGACACAAAACAGTCTGTGCCTGTGTATATACACATACACACATTGTAGAATGTTGTTATAAAACATCTGAGGAAAGTCAAATCTAATTTATGGTAACGAGAAGCAGGTCAGATGTTCGTTGGAGGTTGGGAGCAACCTTGGGAAATTCTACCAAATGTTTAAATAAAGCATGAACACAAATTCAACATAAAATCTCCATCACAAAACAGGAGAGAAGATGTCCCAGTTCATTTTATGAAGCTAGTATTACCAAGATACCAAAAAGGACAGTATCAAAAAAGAAAACTATAGCTCAGTACTGTTTACAAATGTAAAAACCCTTAAGAAAACATTAGAAAATAGAATACAGCAATATATAGATTTCTATGCCATGACAAAGTAGAATTTATTCCAAGATGCAAGGTTTGTTCGATATTTGAAAATCAATCAGTGTAATCCACCACAGTAACAGGATAAAGAAGAAAAATCACACAAATGTTAACAGCAGACTCAAAAAAAGCATCTGACAAAATTTAACAGTCACGAAAAAAATTCTCGAAAAAGCAGAAATATGGAAAATTTCCTCAGCCTCATAAAGAACATCTACAAAAGCTCTACAGTTAATATTAAACTTAATGAAGAAAGACTGAGTGCTTCTCCCCTAAGACCAGGAACAAGACAAGAACATATGGTCTAACCACTGGAAATTCTAGCCAGTGCAATAATCAAGAAAAATTGGGGGGGGCGGGGGTAGGGAAAGAAGACAGACAGAAAGAAAGAAAGAAAAGAAAGAAAGCCGGGCGCGGGGGCTCAAGCCTGTAATCCCAGCACTTTGGGAGGCTGGGGTGGGTGGAGCACGAGGTCAAGAGATCGAGACCATCCTGGTCAACATGGTGAAACCCCGTCTCTACTAAAAATACAAAA